CCCCCCCCCCCCCCCCCTCATTTTTCTCTGCTTGGATGCTGCTACTCTAAGCTGCACTCAGACCAGCATTTACAGGCGACTGGACATATACTCAGAGCTGAAATCAGATGTCTTTAACTAGATTAATGTGAGGATTTGGCAAACATGACCATTTAAAATGATTGACTTTGAAATAATACCAACACTTTATGATGATGGAATTTGGCTAATTGATGTCTTGGCACAGATTTTTTCACACACCTCCAGCCCTGAGGCCATTAATGTGACTTTTCATTGGAGGCAGGCAGTATCATAGTGCGTGTCAATGGCCCACCGACCTCCGTTTTGTCTGCACGACCCATGCAGCTGCTGAGAAGCGCAATAAGGCAGAGGTAATAAATCTTGGACGCTCTCCTCCTCCACAGTCATCCACCTGCTCTCAGTCGACGGCTCACGCAGGGGGTTTTGTTCAGAGGAGGGAAGCAGAGGAGCACAATGCAACATGCAGGAGGCGGGATGCAGAACATCTGCCTCTGCATTCAGTGACCCACTGCGATCTGTGGCTGCAGATGTTGCACAGATCTGCACACAGAGACAAGAAGCAGAGCAAACATGAGAGGAGCTGCTGCAGACTCACTGCAGTAACACAAACTCCTGGTGTCGTCTCATCTGTGAGCTTCCTGCTGCTGTCAGCTCCGTGCTGCTGCTGCTGCTCTTTATATGGAGAAAATAACACGGGGGAGACGCTAAAGGAAGGCAGTCAGAAAAAAAGAATAAAACACACACACAAATCCAGAATACTACAACGAATTATAAATACTAAAATGTTTTTTTTTTTCATAAAATTGATCTTTTACATTTTATTTTCCTGTCGTGAGTTCATTTAAATGCAGTTTCTTCTGGTTTTCTATATTTGTGTTCATTTTTGTTGAGCTTTCTGAACACTTTTTGGTTCTGTGGTTTCCTCAAACACAGTATTTCTACATTTTGTGCACTGAAATGTTTTATTTTTTTATTTTAAACTTTCAAGTTCAGGTTTTTAAGTGTGTTATAGTTTGGGGCAATACACACACACACACACACACACACACACATATACATATATATATATATATATATATATATATACTGTATATATATATATTTTTTTCAGAATAATTCACAAACTAATAAAGACTTCACAGTATAGAGAATTTTTCTAAATAAGTTTTTGTTCTTATTCAAAGGTTCAAGTTTATTTTGATTAAACTGGATCATTTTATAAAACTATTAACACCAAATGTGTTCTTTTCTCTCTTTTTTTCTTTTTCTCTTTTCTTGTTCTCTAAAACTAAACTGCTCAGTTTAAAGCACAAAAAAAGAAACTGTCCAGATGACCTGACTGAAAAATGTTGGATTGTATACCTGGATTATTGAGCATGGACTTTGTTGTTTTCAACCAGTTTGACACGACTGACAAAAAGGAAGAGGGTCGGCAATGTAGGAGGTGGCGTACCAAAGACACCGTCTTAGCACCAACATAACTGGTTTGTTCCACTTTGGAGTAAGCTGTTGGGGGAAGAATCAGTTTTGTTGTGTGTTTCCTTGACTGATGAAGACTTCTGGATCGAAGGCGAAATGTTTCAGCACAAAAAAGAAACTGTCCAGATGACCTGACTGAAAAATGTTGAATTGCATACCTGGATTATTGAGCATGGACTTTGTTGCTCAGTTTAAAGATCAGGTTCTTATACTTTAGAAAAATGGTAAAACTACGCAACCCTTCTAGGATCAATTTGAAACCATCAAACCAACGTAAAACCACCAACATGCCCACTGATAAGTTGCCAACGCTCTACGGGAAAGATTTAATCCAATCTGTTGGACAGAAACTTTGAACCTGTTGTAGTATGACATATTCTGAGATATATTCATACATTAAACGGGTTCACTCATCTTTCTGGACTGGATAAAACGTGCATTGAATTTAATGAAATGTAACGTGAGACGTCATTTTTCTTTGACCCATCAAAATGAATGCGGTCATTTATTTTACAGAATCAAAGTTTAACATCAAACATTTACATTAATTTGGCAGAATATGAAAACAACAACATAATTAATCAGCTTTTACAACCAGGAAACCATACGGCCATGGTTTTCCGTTGTTACACCACAGACATTAATGAAAACATCTGGATTAATTTTCTAGCAGATAGGAGAGTTAAAGATGGAAAGATGAAGTTTATCTGAGAGAGATGTGTGAGGGAATTTGTCTGTTTTAACCAGAACAGCACGCTCCATTGAAATCAGCTTGGCCAACGGTACGCTTGGTCGAAATAGAACTTTTACCTTGCAGACGATAGCTTCAGCGTCGGTGTAGAGCTCTTCTTTTGACTCTTTTCAGCGTCTCCGTGAGAACAGCTAAAACCTTAGGAGTCGTGTGAGGTTATCCAAACAGAAGTTATAATTCCCAAAATCGTCTCTAGTTCAGCTTGTTTGGTTTAGCAGCATCCATGAATGCCTGCGGTTGCATTCACGGACTCCCAAACTCCCTGCACTCTGGATTCCACAACTCTTGAACTCTACTGTTGAACTGGGAAGTTGCCACATTTAAACGGGCTATACTTCCGGTTCATTTGAGAGCCTCTGATTGGTGGATGGACCAGAACAGAGGTGTGGTTTGTGATGTAAGGTGTTATGGAAAGTCAAGGATAGAGATTAAGATTGTTTAAGAACAGACAGAAAGATTGTTGGAGAAAACCAGTCTTAGTGGCGTCTCTACTCAGTATCTTGCTGTAAAAGTTAAACATGACATTTCTTTTCAGTAAACTTCTTAGTTGACGGAAACCTGAACTCTAACACACTTACAAACTTGCTCACTTTCAAAGCAGACGATCAAGAAATTGAATCATTACTCTGTAATGTACTCTAACTTGATTTCACTTTGAATTGAGGAATAAAAATCATTACTACTGTTTAAGTAAATAAAAATGAGTGGTTCACTTCAACATGTAAACATTGTTTGAACTAACACAATTTGATTATCAAAACATTTGTAAAATAGTAATGATCATAGAGAATTGTCTTTTTCCACTTGATTAATTCAAGACAGAAAGTCTCAGGATGGGTCAAACTGTATTTCTGGATTCAAATCAATGAAATGACAGTTTCTGTCCATCTGGTCAGTTTTGACATCAGGCTTAGTCCACTACACTGTGGGCATGTGCAAGTGTTCCTTTGTCCACACCAGAAACAAAGCTGGACACATCTTCTACACATGGACTCCTTAAAAAAACAAAAAACAAACATAATTTGTTTCTTCAGTTTAGCAATTCGTACTGATTTTTATTTAACCCTCAACATCTGGCAGGATCCCTAAGAGTCCATATTTTTTCTGTATTTCATGTTCATCCAAACCTGAAAAATACTAAAAAACTGATTCCATACTTCTTCCAGTCTGTGTTGTTTTATTTTATAGCTTAGTTCAACTTCAGAAAAATGTGAAAACAATATTAGAGTTTAAATGATCACATTTAAATGAGAGGACAGCCTCACCATTGAAGTCTACAGGAAACCACACAGACCAGTACCTTCGATTTGACTCACCACCCACTGGAACACAAACTCTCTGTCATCAGAACTTTACAGCATCGGGCTGAACACGTCCCCCCGAAGACAGCAGGGACGGAAAAGGAACATCAAAAACACTCTCCAAGCAACGAGGCTTTTGTCAAGTCAGCGAGGAAATCTACGAAACACACCACTGAACAGAACCAGGAGAAGAACAGATGGAGAACATCGTCCTCCCTTATGTTGCTGGAGTATCTGAGAAACTCAGGAGTTTCTCCAAACACAACATCCCGGTACATTTCAAACCCAACAGGACTCTCAGGCAGAGGCTGGTCCACACTAAGGACTAAACACTCAAACAGAGTGGTGTGGTGTCTGCAGTCCAGTGAACGTCCACATCTCTACAGTGGAGAAACTGAACAGCTTCTCCACAGACGCATGGCTCAACTCAGGAGAACCAGCTCCTCGGGACAAGACTCAGCTGTTCACCTGCAGCTCAAGGATAAGGGACACTCCTTTGAGGACCAAAGTGTTCACATTTGAAGGAAACCATTTATGTAAAATGAGAGAAACCAACTTTAAACAGAGGAGGAGGTCTCAGATTTTATCTGTCAAAAACTTATAATGCAGCTTTAGGCCTCATTTTCACACTTATCAGGAATTTCATCCATGTGACCAGAGTCCATCTGTGTCTCAGACGAACAAAGACCCTAACGAACCCCTATTGTGAGGAGTGATAGGGCAATCTGCATATGTATCCAGCTTCCCTCAGCTTTATAACTCGAACCCCACACACTCTGTTCTTTGAGCAGGCTCCTCGGATGAGAAGCGAAACGTCTTCAGTTACAAAATAAAGCTCAGATGTTTCAGTCTTGAACTTTTTTTTTTATTTAAATGATCACAAATAAAACCATAAATCAAGTTATCTGGAGCAGGTTTGTGTTTAGTTCATCAGTTTGGAAATTATTTTTTTCCCTCAGTCTTTTTGAGTGGGCGCGCGGGGACGTACCCAGTTGTCCATCTCGTAAGTGATGCAGGCGGTTCCAGTGGACGAGAAATAAATCTCAATTATAGACGCCATGCGCGTTTTCCCAAAGGGACATATTCAAAAAGGAAAGAAGCTGAGATCTATTAATACTATTCAAAAGCAACGCGATACAAAACGTGTCAGCACTTGACGAAAGATCGTTGTCGTCTCTCTGGAGTGGCTCCAGACGTGCTCGCTGCTCAACATTCAGATGTTCTCAGATAATATCCACCACCGACAGTCAATGGCTTTTAATTACCGGGGTGCAGACACTTGATGCAGGTCAATGTGGAACAACCGTTTCTCTGCCTGTTGGGTAATTGTCTCCCAGATCTCATTAACAGCCAGTGGGAGTGGGGAAGCAAAAAGAGGGCGATGTAAAAAAATAAATAAAAACTAACACGGGAGAGCAGAGCACAGATGTGGGTACAAAAAGTAGAGCGGAGAATCTGTGTAAAACCAGCTCAGCCAGAGATTTGTACACAACGTTGACATTTTTAGCAGCTCATCCTTTCCAGGCTTCAGCACAAAAACGAAGAATGTTTGCATCAATAAATCAATTTATTTAAAAGAATATGTTACATTTTCTTTACAGTAAGTTACGCATCTGGTTCCATTTTACATTTGCACACGACAAAAAGGGTTTGCAGCTTGTTAAGTCTCCATCGTTGTCAGATTCGAGAGCCGTCAGCTGAACTGAACACTGTTGCGTCGAAATAAATAACATTTTCCGTAGACGGAACAAGAAGACAAAAGGAGGAAAAGGGGAAACGTGGTGGAGAGCTGAAGAAGGCGCGCTTCAGGGTGTCAGAAAATCGACAATGCTCGACTTGGTTCAGTAAACAGACAAGAACCCAACTAAATGGATTCGGCCTCCAGGACTGCACGTTCAATCTTTCAATTAAAGGATCCATAGTTTCCATTAAAACGCCTGCATGATCCCACAAAGGTCTGTTTTAGCACATTAATCAGCTTGTGAGCTGCACCGGGACAAGCGTTCATGGATGTGAACTCTAAAAATGCTTGTAGATGGTAAAACATCAGAGTACCACTTTACAGTAAGACTCCCCTTATAGATGGATAACAGTTTACATATACGTTATTAGTTCCTCTATAAACACTTTATAAATCATTAATAACTGTTTATTGTGCATTAATTAAGGGTGACAGAGGCAAAACTGACCAGATTCTTGCCAAATAGTGATCCAAATCTGTTCACCTATGTATTTCATCTAGAGTTGTTATAGTACACATATCAGACCAAGTTACTGCTTTGTAAGCACAATAAGCATTTGTAAACCTATTTCTTTAGCATATTGTATTCTATCACTGCATTATAAGTATCTACAGCTAATATCATATCCTAAAAAAAAAAATAGATTTACAAATGCTAATTGTGCTCACAAGGTAGTAACTTAGTCTGAAATGTTTAATATAACAACTCTAGATGAAATATATAGGTGAACAGATCTGGATCAATATTTGGCAATAAACTGGTCAGTTTTGTCTCTTTCTCGCCCTCAATGCATAATAAACTATTATTAATATTTATAGTGTCTATAAACTATTTGTTAGCCATATATAAGGGGAGCTTTATTGTAAAGTGGTACCAAAATAAGACTAATGTCCTGATTACCTGCGGAGGAAAAGTTGGACTTTCAATGGATAGTTTCATTATTTTTCAGTGGGGTTCTGTGGAAATGTTATGAACAATTAATATCTTCCTAAATAATTTGTAAATGAGCAATCTATTATCAGTCTTATTATAATTATAATCACGCTTGTAATTATCTTAGAATCAGCCGAGAGTGTTGCAATCTGTAGATGTAGTTTTTTTTTTTTTTAGGTTGATATCAGTACTGGACGATCAGATTATCAGCTTTTAGGATGGGATCAGATGTTGAGAGGCCTTCAAGGATCGAACCCTCCAGCTTTCCCTATTTATCTTGTTTTGCAAAGGCAAAACATCGCTGTCTCAGTAGAGTTTGAATCTGCAGCGGTTCACCCGTCTTCTCAAAGCTACATAGATAAACACTGCGGCGTGGAAAAATCGTTTGAATTACAGGCCTGACATAAATCCTGTGGGAGCTCCCAGAGACAAAGTAATCCCTGTGAATCAGAGAGGACCCCTGCTGTTTATTCTGGGGAAACTCACTCAGATACACGGAAACTTTATTAAACGGCCAGTGCTGCTAAAACATTTGCATGGATTCTTCACATAATACTGTAATAAATGCATGGCTCTGAACGGGGATTATACCAGTTGATGCTGTTAATAATCCCACTGCAGCCAGTTAAATATTTATATAAACTCTCAACTTATTCCAGCATTGTGCCGCTGAATCAGTTTCCATTAGGGCGTTTTTCATACAGTTGGATAAAGTGCAATGTTAGTGTCAATCCTGGTTTCTGCTCTCACAAATAAACAACAAAAAGAAAAAAAAAAAAAAAAAAAGCCAGTTTTCGGAACTTTTTTCCTCAAGGTAATAACGTTTTTGTTCATCGTTTTTTAAATGCAAATGAAGTACCCAGCAGATTAAAATGTAAGTGCGACTTCCACTACAAGATGTCACCGTGGTTTATCATGTGTCTGCTGGGGGCTCCACGCTCGGACATCCTGCGTCCACAAGACGCTGCTGCTTCTCTCCAAAAGTGACATGCTGAGCAGCTTCCTGTGGTCACCCCTCTGAATTACTTTCATCTGTCCTCCCTCGTGACACCTAACAGCTTCCTCTTTTCTTTCTTTGTTAGTGCACCAATAAATTCATTTCAGCGTGTTTTTTTTTTTTTTTTTCCAAGTTTAGCTACTGAAGAAACAAAAGTTTAAATCTTCTCCATGAGCACAACAAATGCCACTTTGAGTCCTTGTCAAGAAGAAAAGACTTGCATGAATCCGTCGCTTTGAGTCTATGAATTCTCTGCTTAATGCGTGATTATGATGTGCTGGATTCAGGAGGTGGACGCTTCTGTTTGTTTAATGTTTCAGCAGGTCTGCGTGTTGGGAGTAGCTTCTTGTGATGATGGAGTGTAAATAATGTCCGTGTAGGGCACAGCTGAACGCTGTTGAGTCCAGGGTTAGGTCGGGGCCAGCTGAGTTGGTGAGGTCTCTGTACCGAAGAGGCGAGGATCTTCCTTCTTACGTCCCTCCGTCTCTTCTGTGGCGAAGCAGCTGGAAAATATTCTACAACAGAAGCGGCAATCAGGAGTCACAATCCTAAACACACAATGAAGACAGAAGAGATTTACCTGGATTCAGACAGGAAGCCTTACCTTTCCACACATACCATCTTTACTGCAGTTCTTATTGTCCTTATCTATCGCCTCCTCTTCCACCTGAAAACACAACGTTTGATTAAAAGTCTTCTTGTGTACTCGAACAGCATGCAGGCAGGAGACGGTTGTTACCTCTTTCCTCCACTTCAGCTCACAGAAGACTCTCTCGAAGCATTCGTGCATGTAGTTAAACTAAACATTGTCCGTGCGTGGCAAACACAAACAGAGACGCAGGTTAGAAAAGATGAAAACGAGGTTAACGATAAAGTTTTCATAAAAACAGCATCTCACCTGTCTTTGGTAATGATGTAAATTGAATATAACCCCTGAAATACAGTGGTCCCTCGCTACTTCGCGGTTCGACTTTAGCGGACTCGCTGTTCCGCGGTTTTTCAAAGTACGATTGAACACGAGAAAAAACAGTGGTACACGACACATGATTGTCAACTTTAATATTACTCACGTGATTGGGACAGTACTGGATACTGTACAGTGTACAGTAAAGAGTTAACGAAAAAATAAAACATTTCAGACAGGCGCCGCCATTTTGTAGTATTTTTTCTCAGTAAGCCTCCACTGTATTCCCGCTCATAATGACTACATTTCCCAGAAGCCAACAGTGCCCAACCCAGAAGCCCCGTTTCCTTCTGCTGAAATACTAGAGGGAAAGATCTGATCTGATGGGAAAAACTTGGCACTTATTACAGTGACTTTGGTGCCCAACGGATGCAGAGAGCTGCACGGAACCCACCGCACCGGACCAGAACCGGAGAAAACTGGACCTCCAGACCCATCAGTCAATCTTGAGAGCTGACAGCTCACGAGGACTTCCGCCATTCGGAGCCCACCGCCACTACCCTGAGCCAGGGAGCCGACCAGAACCGGCAGGGTAGGTCCGCTGAAATGGAACCAGGTCAGAGCGGAACCGAGCCGCTGCTGTACTGCAGAGTCCGGTAAGAAAAATTCAGTAGCTACATATAAATATGTTGTAGAGTGCATTCGGGCCCCCCAAAAAATCCAATCCGACCCGGCTCCAGCCCGTAGCCATCATTTCCGAACCCCAACTGACCCGAAGAATTAACAGTAATTACAGGTCCGAACCCCCCCCAAAAAAACCCTGACATTTTTAATTAAGCTTTGACTGCTTATAATTATCAACGGTCAGTGGATGCAGAAATGGAACCGAGTTGGACCAGAACAGAGTCGGACCGGAATGAGAGCCGCTCCCGTTCTGCAGAGCCTGGTAAATAAAATTTAGTAGCTACATTTACCGTACTGTACGTATGTTGTTAAAATGGCGTAAGTTTAAGAGCTTAGAACATTGCAAGTGTGTGGGAAGAGTTTCTAACGTCTTAATATATATAAATACTAAAATAAATATAATGTCGCTACTTCATGGATTTTCACTTATTGCGGGCGGTCTGGAAAGTAACCCCCGCAAAAAACGAGGGACCACTGTATGTCATCCACCAACAATATATTAATGAACTTGTGTGTGTGTCTGACACTTACATAAGGAGTAAAAATCTTCACCCAGCGGGGTTTCTTCTCGCCTCGTACATACTCAAAGCAGAAAGCCATGCCCTCTTCGTCTGTGTCCCACCTCTGCATCTCCCCCCAGTCGAACAGGATCACCTGACTCTGGAACAACAAGCAGCCTTTAATCCGTGCACTTCATTCTACATGAAGTTGCGTAAACAGAAAAACAAGCGAATGAGACGGTGGACTCACCTCAAGCGTGCCTTCCTCTGTGCAGGCGTGCAGCTTGAAGTTTTGTATACTGATGGCTGTGATCACGTGGCCTTTACGCCTGGAGTCGCAGGAACAGTGAGGGAAGATGATCTCATTGTAGCCGTTGCAACTTCTCAACAAACTCAGGTACTGTAAGAAAACATTGACAGGAACGGGGAACGTGCTTTTTAACAAGAAATGGGATTACAAGAAGATGCTGCAGAAGTTTTTGATGTTGGATTAGAAACCAGAAGTTGCTTTCCAGCTGCAGAAACTCTGACCAATGACAAAAACTCTGAACTTCTTGAGTTAAGGGAACAGGGACTAAAAGCCAGTATCTTGCTGGGCTTTGACTCCAAAATGAGTTTCCAAACAATCTCATATTTTGAACATGTTCAAAAAAAATTGCGACAAATTTTCTCTCACATGTCACAGATTTGTCCCGGGTGTCTCAACTTCTAAATGTAGTTTTTGTAAATTTTACAGTTCTGTATTTTGACACAGGAGTTCTACTAATGACAGGAAACATTTGGAGCTACAGTCCAAAATGTCCAGGTCTAAACACCACAATGATCAAGAACTGGTCCAAATCTGCCTGTCTTCATTTAAAAAATGGTCTACAGTAAATTAAATCATATCCATGGGGGAAATGCCAAAATGACAGTGACCTGAGTTGGGAAATTAAATTAAGTGCATTGCGTGGGATAGCGTGAGCTGTGCACACACACAAAAAGGCCACGACTTTCTGTAAATTGGCCACTTAGTACAGAGCCACACAGCTCCCTGGTCACAAACACTCAAGTATCAGGAGAATTTAATGAAAAGTTTCCCAGTTTTCATGCTATTTGTTCACAAATTTGCCTCCCCAAAGAGTTTCTAGAAGTTACAACTCATTGAAATACTAGCTTAAACAAAAGGACTAAGAGTTAATTTTACCCCACCTCCCCAAAATCGACCCTGATCATGACAGAGTTTTGAGAGTCCACGTGGGGTCCGAAAGTTTCTGCTGAGGTAAGCAGTTAGAGGACATACAAAGTAACAAGGAGTGACAATTCTTCAGCGTAACAGAAAGGAAACATTCCCTCATTGTTTCACAACAAATGCCTTTTAAATCACAAATCAAAGCGTCCACCACTCGGCACAGCGTTGTGGGAAGGTGCCAGATTTAGCGTGAAAGCAGCTGAAGCTCATTTCCTCTTTTTCCACTTTGGCTTCTCTGCCGTCTGTGCACCGTAGATCAGCCCCACGCCTCTAAACAGAAAACCTGCCAAACCTTTGAAAACGCAAACGCTCGATGGAAATGGAAACAATGACGGTCCGCGGAAAGCTTTTAAATTCCTTTAAATAACTCTGGAGGTTTACAAGTACTAGGCAGGTACTTGCTGTTAAAGTGCTTGTCTGGCTTTTCATTTAATTCCCAGCAAAGAGCTCATTTCTGCAACACTCAAAAGTCATTTTAAAAAAAAACCAACCAGAATAGCAGAAATGTTTTAGACGAAGGGGAGAACAACTTTATACGAACATTTGCTGTTCACACATGTACTTCACAGCAGGACAGTTTGTGCTACAGATGCACCCAGAGGTGGAAGTAATGAATTACAAAAACTCACATTACTGTAATTAAGTAGATTTTTTTGGGTACTTGTACTTTCATGAGTATTTCTTTCAAGTGTGTAATTTTACTTATGCTCAAGTACAATTTAGACCATGTAATGTACTTCACTACTTTTAAAATCAGAAGTTGCTACTGAGTACAGCCACAATATGAATTAACGTTCAAACCGTTCATCTGCATCTTTGTAGCCAACAAGGCTCTCAGATCGCGAATGCAACAATTACCTATGACGTAAGCAAAGGACAACTCTGTAGAGTAGAGTCATTTGGTCGTTTTCACACCAGATAGTCCGGTAGACTCGGTTCGGGACCAATATTCATGAGCTTTTGTTACATTTGAGCTGGTGAGTTTGCATTCACACTGCACTGTGCAGTCGAGTCAACCTGTTGAACCAACCTATTCCCCCGCTCGCCTGTGGGGGCGCTGCACCAAGAACTACTGAAAGAAACGACACAAAAACCTCTGAAGACACGTCTTCTTCTTCTTCTGTAAATAAAAATAAAAAAGAAGTGGCATCAAGTTTTAGCAGTTTTAGGAGTTATATTTTGTCATTTTTCAAAAATGGACTTTGCATGAGCAGAAGATGAAACAGAAGACCATGGAGAATATTGTTTTTTCACACAAGGCAGCTGACGGCTCCATATAAGGTCAGAGAAATGCGTGTTTGTTTACCCTGCGGAGCGGGTCCGGTCTGTTTACATTCACACTGAACTCGAACCGCGCTGGAGTTCGCTTCTATTGGACCGAGACCTAGGTTTTAGCCCGGGCCAGAGTTCGCCTTTTTGTTCCGTGACAGAGTTCGATGGCGCGTTCACAGGTTCCTAAACGAACCGGACTTTGTACGAAAACGAGCTAGAGTTTGATTAAAGCGGACTAAACAGGGCTGGTGTGAATGCACCCTTAGAGTCTACTCTTCAGCCAAACGAAGCTGGATAGACTGTTAACTTAGAAAACCAGCTCCTGCTGACACTGAACAAAAGGTTCAGAAAGTGAAGGGTGACAGAAATGTCAGAGTTTAATAAGACACGTACCTGCCTGTTGTTCAGTGTGTTTGGAAAAGTTTAAACTGTTCTATGCCGGCTCAAAAACATTTTTGTATTTCTTTTAACAAACTAAATTACTGCTTTATCTACATTTGTTTACAAAAGAACTGGCCTTAGTGTAATTTTTCTATACTTTATTGTTTGTCTGAGAAATGTGCTTTGAATGTAGCTATTATATAAAGTAAATTGAATTGAATACCTTCTAGTGACAACACAATAAAACATCAATTGATTTAAAAGTAATTAATACTCTGAGTAGTTTTTGAAAAGAGTACTTTGTATTTGTACTTAAGTATTTTATAACACCAGTACTTTTACTTGTAATTGAGTACAATGTAAGAAGTGTAACAGTACTTGTACTTTAGTACAAATTTTCAGTACTCTTTCCACCTCTGGATGCACCACATCTGGAAATCTGTCTTACAACAGAGAAAGTGCAGAAACTCCAGCATGGAGGCCGAGTGTTAGCCTACGCTGGTGACAACAACGTCATATGTTTCTGAAAATATTCACAATAGTGAGAAAAGTTAAAAAGATCAGCATACCGATCAGCAAAAAAAGAAGACGAAGCAGCAACTCTTATAGAAAAGTCACATTGTTAAATAAAATGCTCCAAAAGATTTCCAGCCTCCCTATCATTACCAAGGGGCTGGATGGAAAATGTCTCAAGCAGTTTGGTGCAAATGCAGCAGACATTTGCATTTGAAAATTATCCACCTGTGTAAAATGTCCCTGAACATTTCAAGATAGAGGCGCACGCTGAAACCACCTCAAAAATATGGAGGACGGAACGTGACAAAATGAAATAAATAAATACACAGTAATGAAATGTATCATTTAATTATTAAAAACATTGTTAAATACACAATTAAATTATTAAATACACAATTAAATTATTTATGTCATAATTGATTCAATTATATAATTTTGTCACATTCCACCCTCGTGTGTCACCATGAAATTATGTTAACTGTCAATCTCACTCATCAAACTCAGTGGGCGGGACTAACGCTGAGCATGTGAAATCCATTGCTTTGGTCTGATGTCATTTCAAACAGGCAGCTCCCTCCATGTTAAGGTGACCAGACTTCTGAAGTTAAATCTGGGGACATTTCCAGCTCAGAGGCAAATTTTTTTTTTTAAATGTTATCAAGATGAAATTAAGAAATGAGGAGAGTTCCGGTTTCATTTATTTTTACATATTTATTCATGTTTAAACAATAAAAATCAAATGTAGCAGCAGGAAAGTTATCTCTCCACACTGTTGTTAACATTTCTTAACAGTAATAAAATGAATAAGGGCAAATAAGTGGTCGATTTGTCTTAGTTTGCCGTGAGGAGCAGCCAATCAGGCATCGGGGTTAGGTTCAGTCCCGCCCACTGAGTTTGACGAGTGAGGCTGACAGTTTAACATCATTTCATGGTGATACTGGAGGGCGGAAGGTGACAAAATTAAATAAATAAATAAATCATGAAAAAAATAATTTAAAAAGTGCATTTCATTATTTAATGGTATATTTAATATTTTAATTGTATATTTAATGATTTAACAATGTATTTAATAATTAAATGATACATGTAATTGTTATGCATGTATTATGTATTTATTTATTTCATTTTGTCACATTCCGTCCTCCATACAAAGACAGTCGAGTTTTAGTGTTGACAAAACACGAACGAAGCAGAGGAGTGAGCTGTAAAAAAAAAACACTGAGCTACAACGAACAACAGAATCTCTGTACGTGTGACTGACTAACCATGGACATCTTCTTCAGCTCTGCCAGCTTCTGCAGCTGATAAGACTTCTCCTCAACTTTGATGAAGCCTTTTTTCACATCATCAAGAGCCTGTAAAGAGGGGGAAAAAAAACAATAAAAACCTCACAACTAAATGTCTCATAAACAACCAAAAAAGGAGCCAGATGTTCTGTTCGCACACACCTGGTGAAAGAAGTAGCTGACAGCAAGCTGGTTGTCACTGAGCAGAATCTCTTCGTCTGTGGTGAAGAGCCACTTGTGCAGAGTAAGGCAGGTTCCTGGGATGGCTGAGGTATAGTTTTGTACATACAGTTTGTGGGGGAACTCATTGGGGGCGAGTTTACGCACTGAAAGAAAATGAGGTTGAAGTGCAAAACAATGTAGTAAACTTCAAACTATCGGACACATGGAGTTGTTTGAAACGGTACAAAAGCAGCACATTAAATGTTGATATTAATACCAACACATTTCAGTTAAAGAAGGAATAAAGGGTTTGTTTACAGCTGCTACTAACAAAACGCCAAGGTAAAACTTAATGACACTGCGATGGAATTTGATTTACAGACAGTACCTGGGTCAGATGTTTGTTACGATAAATTATATTAAATACCACACAGATTTCATACATTAGGATTTACATTCCATTTAGAATATCACTCATTGTTAACGAGAGCACCACATACAGAAAATTATACACCCACTGACAAACCATTATACAGCAATCTATAGCAATGGGTTGGGCGAGCAAAGACCTCGTTTAACATTTGACCTTGACCTTGAAGCTGGGGCGATGAAAAAGTACGCAAGACTCCATTTAGTGATGACGCATATGTGTATGGAGTTTCATCTTGATCTGGAGCAGATCTTAAGTTATAAGTTACATAAATACATAAAGTTAATAAGGAATACACTTACTCTGGTTGCATTAATTGCAACTTTTTAGCAAATATAAATAAATAAAATGGATTAACTTTTGCAACCAATCAAAGTGGCTGTCCTTTTAAAATGAGTTTATTTACAGTAGTCCCTCGCTACTTTGCGGTTCCTTTATCACGGATTCCTCTATCACGGCTTTTCAAAATAAGATTGGACAACACGCACAATTGGCTGACTGATGGATGAGATGCACGATCAGCATAAAATTTTTATTTAAAATAAATTATTTTAAATTATTTAGCACCTGCTGCACATTTGTGCAGCCCAGAGCAGCAGAAAAATCTTCCTCCTGCAGTTTTGTGCAGCCCTTACTGCTGCAGGATAAACTTCCTGCTGCGGTTGAACAGCTGATCAGCTGTTCAGGTGCGGGGGAGTGGGCGTGGCCAAGAGCACTTGCAGGTGGCAAAGAGCAGAGGAGGAAGGGAGCTGAAATCATGATTTTCTGTACTCTTTTAGAGCATTTACAGTTTAGAAACATTGTTTGGAATAGTAAAAGAGTATGGGAAGGTATAAATAATAAAATAAACTACTACTTACTACTTGTACTACTATTTCTACTTTGTGAGTTTTCACTTATCGCGGTCTTCAGGGTACAGATCCCCTGCGATAAATGAGGGACTACTGTATTGTACAAAAAAACCAAACCCATAAGTAGAGTCATGTAAAAATGCTTAAAGATGATACAAAAAGTACAAGTATTCCTCTTTTTGACAATCAATATTATGTTGTGCCTAACCAAGATGATATCAGTGAGATAAGATGAGCATTTTGCACACATGCACGCCTACAATATGTTTCAGTTACATTGACTTACCAAAGGTGTGGTTGATGACCTCAAACAGAGCAAAGTAGCTGGCTGTTACACTGTCCATGCCTAGTTTCATAACCACAGCCTGGAGGAGAAAGAAGACATGTCAAGAAAAAAAGGAAACAACAAGTCAGTCATGAACAACCACTGCTCAGGTTGGTGTTTACCTGATAAACCTGGTCTGTAGTTGAGTTTTTGCGAACTCGGACGGTGAGCGTCGTTTTATCAGGCATGGCTATTCTCAGCTCCACATCTGACACGCCGTTATAGTTCTTGATCATGTGAAGGAGAGACACAAACTGCACAGTGAGCCAAACGCACGAGCAAAGAAAGCATAAGAAGCTGTGTGAGGTTGGTTGCACTTTTTACCTCGTCTGATTCAGATAGGAACTCCTGCATGATGTCACTCTCTCCGATAACCCGTACAGAGCACACTGCAGAAACAATAAGTCCCACTCAAAGTTAGGTCTAATTGCAGGAACAAAGTATGTTTACATACAGTTTTTATAACAAACCTTTTGTCTGAAATGAAAACACAAAGAATGAAAGAATTTTGGGACGGAACGGTGAGTCTAAATGAGTCATAGGTTGGTGGTTGGCACCCCCAACCACACCTACAATAAAAGTTCATTCAAGGTCAAGTTATCTTAATTGTAAAACACAAGACTAAAAAAGAAACCCATGAATCCTCTTTCCCTTTACCTTTCTCCAGGTACTCCTCCAAGCCTCGGCGCCGTGCATCCAGCTGCTGCTCCGACAGCGAAAACGGCCACTTCCCAGGCAGCTTGGGGAACGTAAAATTAGCAAATTCTCTCTTTAGGTTTTGATGCAGAATCACAAACTCCCGGTAACGCTTGGAGCACAGCTGCCTGCCTGCCATATACACGTTGTAAACCTGAAAGAAAAACAATTGCAAAAATGAAAACCATAGAAATATTTTTGTTTCACTCTGTGACACTCTAAAGAACGGAGTGTGTGACACTCTGACTAATTGGAAATAGTGTATCTGCATCAATGCCTCTTTCCTGTGGGGTCTCACAGGGTTCAATTCTTGGACCCCTTTTGTTTTCAGTCTATCTGCTCCCTTTGGGATCTATCCTGTGGAAACAAGGCCTTTCATTTCATTGCTATGCTGATGATTGTCAGATTTATCTGCCCTTGAAACCCAACAGTTCTTGCTCCATTCACCCTCTGTTAAAATATCTTGATGACATCAAGGCATGGATGGCTTCAAATATTTTTTAAGTTTTAATGATCAGAAAACTGGAGTCATTGTGTTTAGCCCTAGCTCTTTCGCTGTCTTTGAATATGTCTGTTACGAATCTAGGGATGGTTTTAGACTCGAACTTTAAGTTTAATAAACAGATTAACTCTGTTCTACAAAAAAAAAGCTTCTTCCAGTTAAAGCAGATAGCGAAGGTTTAGTCTGTGTTGACCAGAACTGACCTTGAAAAAATAGTCAATGTGTTTGTTACAACCCGGCTGGACTACTATAAGTAACGCAGTTTGTGTTGGGGGTCAGTCCGGTGTCCCTTTCATGGCTCCAGCTCGCCCAAAATACTGCAGCTCGGCTATTAACAGGAACTTATGGGTTTGAGCAAATTTCACCAGTTTTGTCCTCCCTTCACTGGCTCCCTGTAAGTGTCACAACTGATTTTAAAATTTCCTTGTTGACCTTTAAGTGCATTAATGGCTTTGCACCCTCATACCTCTGAGCTACTTCAACCTTATGTTCCTTCTTGGGTAATGAGATCATCAGACCAGCTGCTTTTGGTTGTACTTAAAACCAGGCTGAAGCTCAGAGGAGATTGGACTTTTTCAGTCATGAGCCCTAAACTCTGGAACAATCTGCCCCCCAACATTAGACAGACCACTTCACTCCCTGCTTTTCAATCTCTCCTTAAAACACACCTGTCTTCACTGACGTTTAACACAGTGTGATCTGATTGACTATTTCATTGTTTCTCATTGTTTTTATGTTTTTATTTTTGATGCTTTTAATTAAGTCTTGTTCTTTTTTTTTTTACTGTCTTGATCTTATTATTAAGCACTTTGGTAAAAGCTGCTGTTTATAAATGTGCTTTACAAATAAACTTGACACTGTCTCATATCTTAAAACTGTAAAACCGTGACTTCCTGTTCAAATCCTGTCAATAATAATTAAAAAAACTATCTACCAATACAAGGTATAACTAGTTCATCCATTAATGCTTGAAAGTTTGGGACATCCATGAGCTGCACCCACCACAAACTTTTCATTGTTGAGCTCGGTGTGTTTGTAGCTGGGAATGGAGATGGGGACGGCCTGCTTGTCAGAGTAGTCGTAACAGGAGAGGGCTGATCCATCGTCGCCAGGATCCAGGCAGTCGGCCTCCTGCGGCGGGACGGACAGCACGGCCAGCACCAGCTCTTTCTCACCAGCCCGGATCAGATCCACCACCTGTTTGTGTGTGGCTCCCTCTACGTTTACACCGTTGCTGATGAAAGAAGACAAACATATATTAATGAGGGCGACTGCACTTTGAACAAGAGTAATTATCTTATTGTCTGTGTCAGAAGTTTTGTAACATTTTAAAGAAATAAACTGAATTGGATGGAACTGACTCTATTACACATACTACAATTAGAGGCATACAAACAATAGGGGCATAGTATTTGCCAGTAGATGCCACACTCAGAGTATGCATTGTGGATGACTCTCGCCACTACCCCGTCAAATTTTGGCTCAATATCTGTAAAATTGACAAAATGACGTTAACTGATGTCGATTAGCTGCAGAGGCCATCTTAAACAGGACTGACTCCAAAAGTTAATCACTACAACTGATTAACTAGGAATTATTAATTAGGATATTTTCATTCAACCTTTATTTATACAGGTTAGTCTCACTGAGACTCGGGGACTCATTTAAAAGTGACCTGATTTTCACAAAGAGTGATGACAACAGTAGACAATCACAAAAAGCATACAAATTGAAAAGAATAAATGAAAGAAAAAGGTATTAATAAACGCAACAAACAAAGCTAGGTTGTAAGGCGGTGTAGAAAACTAAAAACAAGAACATCTCTGCATTGGTTTTTGCCTGGAACTTAGCAGATGCTTGAAGCCACTTAGAGAGGTCAAGGTCGAGAGCTTCAGATCTTTTTGCAAGATGTTCCAGGAAACAGTAGTGGAGAAGCAGAAGGCCCTTTTGCCCAGTTCAGTCCTCACTGAGGGGACACTGCATGTAATAATGTCCTGAAAGCGCACGCTGTAGCTGCACTCACGCAGAGACATGTAGGAGGAGCTGAATGAAGGCAGCAGACCAAGAAGTGATTTAAAGATGAAAATCATATATAAAATATAAATGTATGAAATATGAATATATCCTGAAAGTTGAACTGAAATTTGTTTAATGGTTCAGGAGATATTTTGATAAAAAGGCACAAATAGGAGTACAAAGGTCATTGCCCACCTTCACCGTTCAGTGGACACACTGTGTCTGGAACACCTGGCTGCAGAGAAAAGCAGCACTTAATGCTACAGTAGTATCTCAGACCTCTGTGAATAGCAAGCAGCCATCAGGGCACTAACGATCAATTGTTGGGCTGATGATCCTCCTTTATCAAGTGAACAGCAAGATTTGGTTGTCACCTGCAGACTGGTTGATCCACTTTGAGAAGGAGCTATTTATAAGACTGAGTGTACTGCAGCTCCTCGGACTGACCAAGTCTTTTGGATAAAAGACAAAACGTTTCAACAAGAAGACTCCATCCAGAGGACCTGGCTTTTTTTTTTTTTTTCTACCTGGATAATTGAGCATGCATTAGGATAGCACTTAATGTGTTTACAATAGTTTTTTTTTTTTTTATTATTAAAAAGCCTACAGTTCTCTTGCATTGTTTCATCTCTCAAGTGGCTTTTCTTTAATGTAATTTTGGTGTTTGCATCCTCTTCTTGTGTGATGAACCTTTTGGGAATTCCATAAACACAGCTGAACATGAGCAACAATGGGTGGTAACAGGCGTCACGGTGTTAATGACAGAGCTGAAACGACCTCACCTACAACAAAGGTGCAGCCATAGTGTCTCCTCTAAAAAGGTCTCAGCATCCCCTTCAACTGTTTCTGACACCCTTTAACCTCAAGTCAGATGTGATGAATGGCTTGGCAAATACAGGCTTTTTTAAAACACAGCCTGAGAAATAGGCAATAAATTATTCAAAGTGTTATGCTTTAAGCTAGTGTGATGAATTCATGTTGAGCACAAAAATATGGCATGCACAAGTTGGCCAAACGTCTCCAACCATCCTTTCATTGTCATCCTGATATCCAAGATTGGGTCTAGGAGGCTGGCCCAGGAACACTGAAACCCCCCAGGAAGAGCAGGAGAGTGTTGCTGAGGAGAGGGATGTCTCGCTTTCCCTCCTGGACCTGCTGCCTCTGTGATCCGACTTCAGAATGAGCTTCTGTTTGAATATTTACCAAAGACTAAAGGAGCCAGCACGGCCTCAGCTATTATGTGAACAATGTGAATATGATACTGTGTAGATCCGGCCTGTCCAGCTGGTCCTCGAGGGCCACTATTCTGCATGTTTTAGCGGTTTCTCTGCTCCAACACATCTGATTCAATGGTTGAATTACTGCTTCATATTCTACAGAAGTCTGTTAATTACCCATCGATTCAAATCAGGTGTGTTGGAGCAAGGACGCCTCTAAAGCATGCAGGATGGTGGCCCTCGAGGATTGGACACCCCCGCAGATAAAACAATTTGTGTAGCATAATGCAGCAAATGTTAGGATCTGCATGCTCAGTTGTGATGATTTTTTTTTTATCTATTGTTCTAATTAAAAAAAATAAATATGCTTTTTATATACCCAGTCCTCTTACTGACCTGTTGCCAATTAACCTATTTGCAAAATGCTCTCTGAGCTTTTATGCTACTACTATTTTAAAGCCTTTGTTGCCCCTTTTCCAATTTTTTTGAGCTGTGTTGCTGATAGCAAATTAAAAAAAACAAACATATTTCTTCCTAAAGAATGTACAATTTCTTAGTTTAAACACCTGATTTTTTTTAATGTGCTCATAATGAATAAAACTCAGATTTATGAGATTTGCAAATCCTTACATTCTCGTGCTCTCTTCATTTTACACAACGTCCCAGCCTTTTCAGCACTGGAGTGATAATAAAAGCTTCTGATACAGACAAACACAAATAAGAGAGACAGTATTTAGACCAAAAACGCATAAAAAGAAAATTAGTTACCGACTCTGAAACCAGACTGACAATTCAGGGCAGGATTTGCATCACTTAAAATTTCTGACTGAGAGCTCAAGTGTTATGTTAGCAGGCGTGTCGTAGCGGAGCTTATGTTGGCAGCCTGTCACGCTGCTACAAGCTCAGAGAATCTATAATACCTACGATGGAAAGAGATTGCCACTCGTGAACATGTAATCAAATTCAGAGAGGCTTTCAACGTACCCGTGCACGCTCAAACACACACAGCTGAAACTAGACCTGGTGAGAAAAGATGATTGTGCAGGTAGAAGTAAGCAAAGATTAACGGGAGAGACGCAAACATCTTGCAGGTGTAGTGGGAGAAAGAGCTCGCTCAGTCAAGACAAAAGTGCAAAGTGAGCATTTCAGCAGCTCTTTCCTGCATGCAGCGTTATGATGATATAATAAGCATCTGTGGCCTTTGCACAGGCACCATCAGCACTTTTGATGGTGATGAACAGGTTGTAAAAGGCAATTTGGATTCTGTCGCAACTCCCTTCTTTTCTGCTTCAATAATTCTGACTATGAGTTTGATTATCGCCCGCAGCTGAAGGGGAAAGGACAATAATGTTTCTGTCTGTGCGTGAGCATTTGTCTGTAGCAACAGAAAATTATCACAAGAGTAACTGCGCAGATTTCAATGAAACTCCCAGAAAGCAATGAGTGGATAAACATCTACAACTGATTACCTTTTAAAGTTACTCCAATTCAAGATGCCTGCCACAGCAAGGCAAATTTATCATGTGCAAAAATGTCTACAACTTGGTCAAAGTTACAGATACTGGGCTCAAATCTGGTGTGGTGGTAGCTGAGAGTCATTCCTAACAAATATAGCACTAACTGATCTTGCAGTGCTGCATGAGATTCTGTATGGCATTATTAACTAGGCTGAACAAGAGGTACGTCGAACGTCAGAATTGAACAGGGGTGCAAGTAAACCTTAATGTTTTTTGGTGCAAGATATTCAAATGGGCATGTGTTACGTTGTGCAGAAGAACAAAGGTTGCTTTCTATTTTAGTTTTTGCTTGTCTGAGGTGGTGCGTAGTGACAGACCCTGGCGAGTGGAGGGAACAATTTTACACACCAAAACAGAAGTCGGCACATTGCCTGTTTTTCAAGTTATCTAACTCACAAAGTGTGTACATATATGGTGGCAGCCATCTTGAATTTTGATGTGGCAACCCAGTTTTTGATCAGGACATTTCTTACACTTTGACGCAGCCACAAACCAAAATTAAGTTAGCGTGTTGTTTATTTTTTAAGTTATCTAGCTCACAAGATGACCATAAATACATACAGTGTATATGGTGGCAGCCATCTTGGATTTTAATGTGGTAACCCAGTTTTCGAATGGAAACTTTCTTACTCCTAGATGCAACAACACATCAAAATGGAAGTCGGTATCTTGTTCATTTTTCAAGTTATCATATATCATGCTCAAAACATGTATGGACGTAAGGAAGGTTTTTCCAGTTCGCCCTTTTCGCTCCGAAATGGAAAACAACTAAAATGAACTGGCTTAGGAAAGGACACGCTTTCTGAATGTCCTTTTGTTTGTTTATACAATTATTTATGCACACTTGTGTACTAAAATAATGTAACCAGGCACAATAAAAATTTAAAAGATTATTCTTGCAAAGCCACTTAAAACCCTGAAAATGGCACAGCTTCATATGAGCCATAACATTATCATATAGGCCTGTCACGATAACAAATTTTTCTGGGCGATTAATTGTCTCAGAAATTATTTTGATGAACAATAATATTGTTTGAAATTTGACAATAATTAGTAATTATTGTCAAATTTAAGAAGAAATGTTGGTTAATTTATTTTGAGTGTAGTAACCTTTTTGGACCACTGGATAAGACTGAACCAAAGGATGGATAGTGAGGGAGCGAGCAGCGTGTCTTTAAAAAAATTGGAAAGGAGGACCCTTAACATGACATGTGCCGTCTCTCCTTCCTTTTTTTTTCAGTTTTCTAAATGGCGGACAATCAGTGTGGTTTGAGCTCATTAGCATTTAATTTAAAAAAATCAGTAAACCAGTTCTCAGCTTCTTTTTGCAGAGAAAAACTACTTTTTACATGAAGGCACGTGTTTCAACCGTGAATTTTGGAGCTTCAACAAGACGGAGGCTTTCTTCCGAGGTCAGCCTGATAGCTTAGCTCGTAGCTTAGCTTCTCAGCTTAGCTGCTTTTAACGATCCAAAAACATGATTTTGGACGGTTAAATGGACTTTAAAGAGAAAAGAGAAAGGGAGGGGTCAGTGAAGAACACTGGAGTCGAGCTTTTTGTCATCCAGTGTCTCCAGTAAAAAGAGAGAAACACGAAGAAACGATAAAGCCGATAAATGAAAATGAGATAGATCATTTTAATTTATCATGCAATTAATGATCTATTGTTGATCACGACAGGCCTATTATCATATGCTTAAAACGTCCCGAATAAAAGGAGATGACGAGGGACAGGACGGCCCCCAGAAACCATCTTTGCTCCAGCAAACTGGTTAATCCCCTTAAGGAGTTTACTGATTTGTGGGGAAACAGTTTACTGGAACTCCTCTGACTGATGAAGCCCTCCAGATAGAGGGCGAAACATCTCTATAAAAAAGAAACTGTCCAGATGACCAACTGAGAATTACTGGATCCCGAATAAAACAAAATATTCAGTATGAAAGCCTGAAACGCAACAGCTGTTTAGTATAACTGTGCAACAAAGTTTGTATAAAAAAAACTGAAATGAAAACAGCAAGACATTATCTGCCTTGACACTATCTGAGGTTCATGCTGTACTTGAAGGTACTGCATACAATACTCTCACATCCTCAGCTAACTAATAATGAATGCACAAAGATCAATTCTGTTTTATTACCTGCATGGGAGATTGTCTCAAATCGATACAAAGAAGCACTATTAGCTGGAGGGTACACTAAGGTAAAATAATCAATAAACAACTAAATAAATGTTGACTAAAGTAAGGGAGGCGGATGAAGCAGAAGGGGCAGCAGGCTGTTCTTTGAATGCAAAAAGCAGAATTAACACATCTGCATGCCTGCACAGTGCACACACACACACACAAAACACGGGGTCAACAATCTGCCGGGTTACTGCAGGCCATCCTTGACGAAAACAACAAAAAACCCAATGTGTAAAGTAAAAAAAGAACCAATCAGATATAGAGGTTTTGAGGGCAAAGCCAATCACAACTGAACTGAAAACATCCCTCCCTTTCTCCATCCCCTTAAACCAAACACAGAGACGGAGAGAAGCAGCAGTGATGCTGAGCTCTGCGCTGGGTGATCTTCTCCATAGCAACAGAGTCTAACAAGATGAAGTCTCCATGAACACACCACAGCAGACATACCTGCGTCTGTATCCGTGTCCATTCAATACAACATGTGCTGATAATCCTTTACCTCATGGCAGCATTGATGAATTATGTAAACAATACAGTGGATGAGAAATGGCGCACTGCATCCACAAGGGATGACTTGAGAAGTGCTGTGGATGGGAGCAGGTTTGAGTAGTGTGAGGAGAATTTCTAATGATTCTCCTCTTTTGACCCACACAGGCTTCCTTTCATTACGAGAAAACTGCTTCTTCTTCTTCTTCTTTTTATTCTCTGGTGGCGGTGTGGAAGCGTTGTTCTCCCTGACTGTTGTCACAACGACCATTAAGAGTCCAAAGCGCAACTTGTGCTGAAATGTTTCATACTTACACCTCGAGGATTCTGTCCCCCTTGGAGATGCCAGCTCTGTCCGCAGCTCCCCCGGGAAGAACGGCGCTAACGTGCTGCAGCGGGGCGTACAGCTCCCCGTTGATGCTCCGCAGCTGTCCCCCTTCGCTAACTTGTCCCCGAACGTTGAAGCCGTAGCCCGAGTCGGACTTCACGATGCGAACTAGCCTCGGGCCTGAAGTAACGGTGGTTGGCGTCTGCCAGCAGCTGCCGCCGGTGTCTGGAGTAACGCTGCCGCTCCCGGAGCCGTTACGGGAGGAAGGGCGAGGCAGCGGGGGGACCGAGGAACCGTTTCCTTGTCCCGTAACGTCCGCCATCTTCCTACTCGGTTTCTTTCATCCAGTCCAATTCGGCTAGCGTTAAATTTGCTCCAAACATTAGCCGTGGTAGCAAGCTAATCAACTTGGCTAGCTAAATGACTGGAGTCCGCCGGAAAAAGCCGACTGCTTCCGATAGTTGCCGAGCCCGGGACGCGTTCCATGACGACCGCTTCTGACTCGACGTACCCTCCAGCAGCCAAGACAAGTTATCCAGAAATATTCTGGCTAAGCTGCAAACATGTTAAAATATATAATGAACAAGAGGCATGGATTATAATTTGGCAATACGCTTATTTATTTGTACTGCGTACCTTTCATGCAATCCGTGTGTTATTTTAGCAATCCATAAATCAAAACGACACCTAGGAGAAATTGTGGATTGTCCAATGTTAAACAGCGCAACATATTTTGGACATGGTCAGAAATAAAACTGAATGAACTCTGGAATGAAATGTGTGATTTAGTGACATCTTGTGTGATGACCGCCACCACTAGGGGTCAGTGTTTTGTTTTCAACGACCACCAGGTGATGAGGTACACCTGAGCCCAGTGAGCTCAGGTGAGAACCTGCTCAGTCTTGTTGCAGTGTGGTTCCCTGAGCAGATAGATCACCCTACTGCATCTGGTCTGTTTTCTTTTGCTTTACATACATGATCCACTCATCCCCACTCAAATGTTACAAAACTATATTCTACCATGTTGTTGTTTACTCTCTATTTTTAGGGCATTGTAAATATTATAAGTGCTTTTTAACTTTTTGGTACTTTATTTTTGAACCCTTATTGCATGCTTTTAGTATTTCTTGTTTGTTTTTTCTTTGATTATTATTTTTTTTAGCGAGTCAAATAGGTTCTTCTCGTCCTAAGTATTTTATTGCACAGTTAACTATGTGTAAAACTTGCATGTGACAAATAAACACAATTTGAACTTCAGCTAATAGACCTAATGTCTCCAGTTTTCTTAGTTTTTGACCCAGCTGTAACACACTTTAATCTTATGTTCAGAGAAAATAAATCTGGGTAACCTCAAGGGGCTTCCAAAATCGCAATAAATGAAGTTACGGAATCAGACGTGCAAACTTTCAATGGATCCAGCTGTGGAAATTATGTGGGAAAACTGATAAAGGGCGAGTGAGTAACAACAAACTTAATTTGGAATGGTTTTATATTAATAAAGACATCCAGGTTGTCTTAGTTCTTTTAAACTTTTAGCCCTATTTAGAATTAAATTTACCCCCAAGTTGAGGTTGCTCAAAGAGCCATCTAATGCAGGTAAGATGTTTGCTCACAACTTTTCCAAAGAATTGACAGAGCTTTGTATCCTTTAGGATTTGGGGTAGGGGAGAAACCCCCAAAATAGCTTTACAAATTAATGTTTTTAAGATACAACTTTATGGGCTTTTATTTATTTATTTTTACAAACTGGATTCCAAAAAAGTTGTGACACTAAACGAATTGTGAATAAAAACTGAATGCAATGATGTGGAGATGGCAAATGTCAATATTTTATTCGTAATATAACATAGATGACAGATCAAATGTTTAATCTGAGTAAATGTGACATTTTAAAGGAAAAATATGTTGATTCAAAATTTCACAGTGTCAACAAATCCCCAAAAAATTTGGGACAAGTAGCAATAAGTGGCTGGAAAAAGGAAATTGAGCATATAACGAACAGCTGGAAGACCAATTAACACTAATTAGGTCAATTGACAACATGATTTGGTGTAAAAAGAGCTTCTCAGAGTGTCAGTGTCTCTCAGAAGCCAAGATGGTAAGAGGATCACCAATTCCACCATTGTTGCACAGAAAGATAGTGCAGCAATACCAGAATGGTGTTACCCAGCATAAAATAGCAAAGACTTTTAAGTTATCATCATCAACCGTGCATAACATCATCAAAAGATTCAGAGAATCTGGAACAATCGCTGTGCGTAAGGGTCAAGGCCGTAAAACTCTACTGGATGCTCGTGATCTCCGGGCCCTTAAACGTCACTGCACCTCAAACAGGAATGCCACTGTCAAGGAAATATCAGAATGGGCTCAGGAATACTTCCAGAAAGCATTGTCAGTGAACACAATCCACCGTGCCATCCGCCGTTGCCAGCTGAAACTCTACAGTGCAAAGAGGAAGCCATTTCTAAGCAAGCTCCACAAGCTCAGACGTTTGCACTGGGCCAGGGGTCATTTAAAATGGAGTGTGGCAAAATGGAAGACTGTTCTGTATTAGATGAGTCACGATTTGAAGTTCTTTATGGAACACTGGGACGCCATGTCATCCGGACCAGAGAGGACAAGGATAGCCCAAGTTGTTATCAACGCTCCGTTCAGAAGCCTGCATCACTGATGGTATGGGGTTGCATGAGCACTTGTGGCATGGGCAGCTTGCATGTCTGGAAAGGCACCATTAATGCAGAGAACTATGTTCAGGTTCTAGAACAGCATATGCTCCCATCTACTACTTGGGTGTACACATGAATGACAACCTCAGCTGGAGCAACAACACCACCAGCCTGATCAAGAAAGCTCATCAGAGACTCTACTTCCTCAGACGGCTGAGGCGAGCTGGTCTGGGAAGCTCAGTCCTCACCTCCTTCTACAGGTGTGCAGTGGAGAGCATCCTGTGCTCCAGCATCAACGTGTGGCATGGAGGCTGCACAGCTGCAGAAAGAAAAGCTTTGCAGAGAGTGGTGAAGGCTGCACAGAAGTCTGTCGGAATCAGCCTCCCCACCATCACAGACATCTACACCTCCAGATGCAGGAAGAGGGCCACCTGCATCATGAAGGACCCCACTCACCCAGCACACACACTTTTTGCCCCACTCCCCTCAGGAAGGAGGTTAAGGAGCATTAAGTGTAGAACCACTAGACTGAGGAACAGCTTCTACCCTGAGGCTGTTAGACTCATGAATCTCTAACTAGAATAATCAATGTGAAAAACCATATCATGTTGCTGCTGATCTGTTTCATGTTGCTGCTGATCTGTTTCAATGTTGGTGTGTTCATGCGTGCACATCTGCTCACACAGACTCATGTTCATGTTTGTGCTGATGTTCAATGTTTTGTGTTATGAGTGCTTAGTGTATATTTAGTTGATGTTTTTCTTAGTTCATATCTTAGATCTTATTACTGTTTTTCTTATACATTTTATTGTTGGATGTAACTGGGACCTTGTGTACATAATTTCGCTCCACCACATGAGGTGCGAATGACAATAAAGAAACTCTGACTCTGATCTAGACGTCATCTCTTTCAGGGAAGACCCTGCATTTTTCAACACGATAATGCCAGACCACATTCTGCAGCAATCACAACATCATGGCTACGTAGGAGAAGGATCCGGGTACTGAAATGGCCAGCCTGCAGTCCAGATCTTTCACCTATAGAGAACATTTGGCGCATCATAAAGAGAAAGGTGCGACAAAGAAGGCCCAAGACGATTGAACAGTTAGAGGCCTGTATTAGACATGAATGGGAGAGCATTCCTATTTCTAAACTTGAGAAACTGGTCTCCTCTGTCCCCAGACGTCTGTTGAGTGTTGTAAGAAGAAGGGGGGATGCCACACAGTGGTAAAAATGGACTTGTCCCAACTTTTTTGGGATTTGTTGACGCCATGAAATTTGGAAACAACAGATTTTTCCCTTAAAATGATACATGCTCTCAGTTTAAACTTTTGATCTGTGATTTGTGTTCTATTCTGAATAAAATATTAGACGTTGGCACCTCCACATCATTGCATTCAGTTTTTATTCACAATTTGTTTAGTGTCCCAACTTTTTTGGAATCCAGTTTGTATTTTAATTGCTTTGACCCTTTTTCTTTCCTGCTGGTTTCCTTGGCCTTTGGAGGGTGGAATGTGACTAAATTAAATACATAATTAAATGTATGTTTTTAATTATTCAATACAATATTTAATTATATTTATTTAATTTTGGCACATTCCACTCCATTTTCAATATCCTGGGGAAATGCTTTCGCTGAAGTACTTGGAAGTAGTCACCAGGGAGCAGCATTGATATAAAAAGTGACTTTATTAAGGAGGGGTGGGAATCTGTGCCTAGATCCTTACTGAAACTTGAATGTGTAAGGTTATTCCAGGACAGTCAAGATTTGAACCGTTAGAGCATCAGTGTCCAAGCAGTTTGCTTTATTGTCTCATCTCATGTTCTTTTAGCCAAACCTGCAAACACGAAAGCTATAGCTCAAGTTGAAGCCAGTTGTGTGAAAAGGCAGATAAGATTAAAAACCATTTTAACTTCAGGGGAAAGCGCAAAAAGAAGAGGGATTGAGCTTTGCATACATTACGACACAGAAACATAAAAAGGGAACACAAATCTTTATTTGTTCCATTTTTTTAAAGTCGGTTTTGACATTTCATATCAGCATTTCACATTTGATGACAATTAAAATATTTGGTTTCTGGCTGGGAAAGTTTGAATATTTTAGTTATAGTTGTAGGTTGGAGCTCCGTTTTCCGTCCCATTTGAGATCATCCATGGCACACCATACACAGGACTGCTACAAAGGTCATGAATTCACAGAAATCAACGGTGCCATCACAATCAGCATCCAGCATTTTGAACAATTCGGTCACCTTCTCCGGCTGCTTACATTTGCCAGCACTGTCATTCTGAAATGCGTCCTGTTACAAGAAAGATCCCCCCAACTTTAATCAGATATTCAAATGAGTTCCATTATCAACATTTTGGGCAATATTTACTTACAACTAATTCAGGAAACTCAGCTTTGAACATATTCGCAACTTCAGACTTGGACATGGTTGTCTTGTCTCCATCTTGTCCAGCATACTTGGTAAAGCATTCACTGAGCTTTGCAATTGCGTCTTTCATCATACCCATGGTGGCTGAAAAAAAACAAAAAAAAACATGTGGTCATTCTACTGGTATGAGTTCTGGGCTACATAACATAAAAGTTTCCATAAAAGAGGCCATTTATTTGTTTCTGTGTCATGCTTTCTGTCTCCAAGGGGTAATTATGAGCAGGGCATTCTTGCATCTGCTGACTTCCAAAACCGGACATGCACAAAAATGGGTGGTGCAGCAAACCAGAAAAACATTTGTTGGCAAACACTACCCCACCCAAGATCGAGGCATCTATTAAAGCTTTCTTTCAGCATGTCATACGCAGTTCTCCAAAACTTTTAGATGTTTTAGCAGGTAACACCCTGTTTATTTAAATTCCTTTGATTCATTAGGGCGTGGATACACAGCTTTTATTTATAGCTACAAGTTTTAGATCTTCAAAGAAAACTTTTGATGATTTTTAGTCATGACATCCTCTTAAGATTCAAATTATAGCTGTACTGATCACACCAGTGTAACCAAAAATAGACCTTTTCCGTCGTATAAGCTGTCAATTAGTGCTGCACACATTATGAGCAGAAGCTAAGCCAACTATGTGTATAAATAAAGATCATTTTAATGCACCCCCTACTTACCGACTTTGTGCACAGACGACTTGCTGCAGCTTGAGAAGAAGAAGTCAGATGGGTGAGGGTCGGCTCAGACTCAAGCCTTTATAAAATGACCTGACACACCCCTTTTCCATGAACTGACCCCTCCTATTGAGTTTGCCTGTTTTCCTGGAACTCTCTTCTCTTTCTTTCCTTTTCTTTGTTCGCAAAAAAAAAAAGCACGCCCCATTCTGCACCAGTAGGACTCGTTTCTGGATGCTGCAAACAACATTTTGGAGGAGTGGTGGCCAAGTTCAGAGAATTGAGCGTGGCACGAATGTCTTGCTGGAGCAGGGGTTAATTTGGAGAGAATAGGTGTGTCAGGTTGGTATGCAGTTGTGATCACTGGGTGAGAGGTGTTTATCAGAGTTTGTGTGGGAGGAGTGCCTTGAATGGTACGATTGAGTGGACAGATTTAATGTAGGAGGGCTTCAGGCCTGCAGCTCACAGAACAGTGGGATATTCATCGCTCCTCACTGTTGGTAAACTTCCTCGTCTGACCCACCCTCCACCTCCTCCTTTCCCTAGATTTTGTTGCGAAGCAGCCAGAAGATTACAAAATCCTACAGAAAAATACATATAAGGAAAATGGTGTGAACAGTAAGTCAGTAAAGAAGTTGTGTGAACTTGAAACAATTAATATCCCAGACCTGCTGACTGTGCAAAAATAATTAACAAAAATTATTCCAAGTTAGACTTTTTTTATCTGTGGTTACATGTGTG